ATGTAGGAGCTCCACTTGGCGATTTTGATCACACACTAAACTCCCCAACCTGCCCATTTTTTATACCATTAACTACTCCAGCATTCCCTCGTCTTGTATGGCAGTATAACTCAGGAGACTGGGACGGTCTTCGCATGTCTTTCCCAGAATTTCCTTGGCATAGAATATGCTTCGATTCGACGCCTCGTATATATCCATGATCATCACGCTTGGAATGGACACATACATACCTCATTCTTCTAGAGTAAAAACAACTACAACTGCAGCCGAACGATGCATCAGAAGAATCATACAATACCAAAACAAGATCAAAACTCATAGATTGTCCCAATGACTACCGTTCGTTTTGGTTCATCGCTAAAGCAGTCGGAAAGAATTTCACTAATAGTTCAATTCCACTACTCTCCAAAGTCGACGGCACACTAGCAACAATATCGCAGGATGAAGTGGAAATTTTTGCAGAGATGTTCGCAGCAAACTTCACCTTGGATTTCCAGGAGAGAGTGCCGCCAGACATTCCACCCGTTGAAAGTCGAATGCCCGAGATTGTCTCACAACAACGCACTATCAGACGCATTCTGCTCCGTTTCAAAACGAATGAGTACGCCTGATATAACAATGTCTGGTACCAACACTTTCACGAAGTCCACTATATTGATGCTCGGTATTTCCATCAGCAATACTCTTTCATGGAAGAATCGTGTCAGATCCATCGCGAAAGCTGCTTCAGGAAAACTCGGATTTTCATTTCGTGTGAAAATCTACTCTACACCTCAACAGCTTCTGATGATTAACAATGAAGCACATATATAGGGTGTTTCATAATTGAATGCTGATCCTTTAGGGCGATAATCCTTTGATGATTTCAAAGAGGAAAGTTCATATCAACATATGTCCTAAACCTCTTAGTTATTGAGCTACAGGGTGATGAAATTTCAAGAAAAAAATAGAGTTTTTCATCATAATTTTGTATCACTCTCTTAGATATTGTTATGATATTTTGTATACACCTTTTCATCATTGAGGAGCATTCTTTTACGTAAAAGATATTCAAAAATTCTCACTAGTGGCGTCCGTAAGGGGTTTGAACTGACAATTTTTGAAGAAAAAAATAGTACGCCACTGATTTTTCTGAGAACCAGATTTTTTTTTTATTCTCATTCATTTTGGAGCAAATTTGGTTCCTAGACTTACTTTCATACAACGTACCGTTTTCGCGTAAAAAAATAAAAACCAAAGAATTTTGTTCTTTCAGTTCTTGGATATTGTTTTTGGTACCTAATTCAGTAGACACCCACTATAAGTGGAAACACATTTTGTTTTGGGACGAAAATCAAACTTTCACTTTTACCAGTGATGTCCTCGTAGACCTGATATTGAATGTTTAATTCAAAAAAACGCTGTACGCTTCTGATTTCAACACCCTGTAGCTCAAAAATTAAGAGGTTCAGGACATATGTTGATATTAACTTCTCTCCTTAAAATCATCCAAGGATCATCGCCCTTTAGGATCAACATTCAATTATGAAACACCCTGTATATACGACCACTTCAAGGATACTGTTCTAACATATGGGGTTCATTACTCAAACATACGCTCATGCTCTAAAAGATACTTCACCAAAATTGTTTCGTCTATAGAACGGCAAAGCTATCGAATTCTTTGCCAATAGTCCATGTGCCAGACCCATCAGTCATTATAATTTGGGGGGACAGAATGAAACTCATACCACGTGTTACTAGGGTCATATTGAACAAAAAAGTCAGGGGGGGCCATCATGAGGAGGTAGCTTTCAGATATGGCGGCCGTTCAAAATGGCGGACGAATGTGAATATGTGAATGCAATTATCTCAGGATGGGGTGGATCAAATTCGAATTTCTTCCACTCAAAATATAGGATATTCTGCTAGCTTCATTTTTGTTGCTCATACTCAAGGCTGAAAAATCAATATTTATGTGCCAAAATTCAAAAAATCGGAAAATAAGGTTTTTGAAATTTACGTTATGTCGTTTATTGGACTAACGGTTGAGTATATCGGAAATGTACTGAAAATAAAAGTTGTAGAGGAATATCTTAGCTTCAAAACATTGGCAAGAAATCAAAGATCGGATCAATAGAACGCAAAATATCCAGATTGAAAGCGGGCGGAGCAGAATTGAGCGCGTTGACCGAGCCCTCAATTATGCCTATCGGGAAGCGTACAATCGACCACTAGATGGTTTCATATCACCTAATAAGGTGCATTATTTTTGTAACATGATTTTCAATCACCTAAACTAATAACTATCATCAACAATAATTATATAATTTATCTGGAATATGGATAACAATAATAATCAATAATAGTCATATACTGTCAACTTTCAATATCTCGGTATTGAACAGCAACTTGTCAATGAACTTAAATAAAGTGAGGTAATTGAATGACGAAAGAAGTAGAACAACTTAGGTAGATATCGAAAACATTGAACAAAACAATCAAACAATAAGAAATCAGAACGACTTATGCATGCCTTACATAAATATCACTGAAAAATTTGGATTCAATCTTCCTCACTAGAATCACTATTATAGTTATTATAATTACACTCTTCCTCATCTGCTGTTTGTTTGGTACACCCCTTGCACCCACAGCTCTCGGTGCATCGGATTTGAGTTGCTAAGCACGAGCAAGTTTCTGGTGCACAGTTGCTCTTGCAGTGGCACCGCAGAAAGGAGAGTACGCACTCCGGTGCTGGCAAGCAGATTTCACCTTGCATTGGGGGGCATACAACTGGCAAACGAATTCTTCTATGATGTTATCAACATTATCAGACAGCACCCAATCTCTGCCTAATTTGCTGAACGCTTCAATAAATTATTGAAGTATGTGAAGGACCTTTATCTGCGGCGCGAACAATTCTTTCAAGATTTTTTTGGGGACGAAACTTTTGCGATATTCTTTATGGTAGTAAATATCAGGAATTTCTTGGTCAGTTAACGTCTCTTGCAGTTTCATTATGGGTTAAAATTTTCTCAGTACCGCAGCATTGTACAAAGTGTTCCATGAATCCAAGTCTTTCGATTGGTGTAGATTAACAGGCGTAGAACTTTCACAAATTATGCAGGTTCGGTCAATTTTCAACTTTTTTCGTGCATGATCAATGTTTTCCCAGAAGAAATTACACTACTGCCTGGAATAATATTGATTGTGCTATAATTTGATTATGCAGAACTCATTGGCAATGTTATTGTTGCCAGACAAGTTTTGACAAGTTTATGCAACTATTAAGTAATTATTGTGCAATATTGTTCGGTCTGATTTACGTGTTTTTATTGAAATGTTTTTTTAACTATGGGAACTCAAACGCTGAAAAATTTCAGATTTTTCACACCTCCTTTCCACAGAAAAATTATTCGTTTTTGAGGTTTTACATGGTAATGGAAACGCGTCTTATCAGTCGAACACCTGAAACAGACTGAACAATATTTCACTAAATAGTTGGTCAAACGTGTCAAGACTTGTCTGGCACCAATAACATCGCCTATAAGTTCCGCGTAATTTAACAATAACACAATTCCCAGAATAGAACTTTGGAAACATCCCTCTAGATCATAAAAATGTGTGAGGAATATGAAAGATAGATAAATGAATAAATTATTGTTTTTTCAGAATTCAATTTCACGATATCATAAGGCTGTGATAAAATAAAATTTTCAATTTTTATTCGATTCTTCGATAAATAATATCCTATTTTTCGTCATTATATTGTAAAATTCAATAAATAATGACTATCACCTTCATTTTAATAATGATATTCATGTTACAAATAGTGCACATTAGTAGGTCAAGTGAAGTTAACTTGTAATGAAGCGAATACTTACTATGAAGATGAATACATCGCAGGATTCCACCCGATTTTACGCGAAGACTTGCCTCCCGCTAGGCGACACCGAGCGCTCGAAACACGCGCTCAACTTCGCCCCGCTCGCTTTCAATCTAGATATCTCGGGTTCTATTGATCCGATCTTCGATATTCTTGCTTTATTTTGAGGGTGAGATACTCCTCTACAACTTTTATCTCGTAAATTTTTTTTATATACCCAACCATTACTCCAATAAACCGTAAAGCGTAAGTTTCAAAAACCTATTTTTTTGATTTTTCGAGTTTCGACACATAAATACTAATTTTCCGGCTATTGATCAGGGAATCAATAATATAGCCAACAAAATATGCTACATTTTGACAAAAAGAAATACAGGATTGGTTTACTCAGTCCTGAGATAATTCAATTCACATATTCACATTTGTCCGCCATTTTGAACGGCCGCCATATTTGAAAGCTACCTCATCATGATGGCCCCCCCGACCTTTTTGCTACCAATGACCCCAGCAATACGTGGTATGAGTTTCATTCAGTCCCCCCAAATTATAATGACTTGGTCGATTTAAGGGGTCTGGCACAAGGACTACAATGCCCAGTTCTGTCCCCTAAGGCACGTCAATACTCTTCTTTGTTCGCTAAATTCTGTTGAAATGTGTACTAAATGTTTGCTGTTACGGACATAATTTTCTAATAGTTCAGCCTGTAAATACACAAATATATATGTAAATGGAATATGTTTATGAACCTAGCAGCTTCTCAATAGACCATATGACGATAACAAGTCAAGCAAAAATCACATATTTTCAAAAAATAGTTTATTCAACCTTGACTTATATATATAATACATAAACAGAAATAGAATTTTGTATTTGAAAAATGGTTAACAATAATTTAACAATTCTCAATCCAATCATATAAATGCAAAACAGATATGCAGCCTTCATCCTATACATACTTATGAAAATTCTGAACAATCATTCGGTATGATATCATTTCATGTTTTTGTGTTATTAGTGTAGCCATATGTCAGCTCCATATCTACTGAAGATTCAAATTAGGCAACCATATACAATAATGAATTCAATTTCTGGCACATAAGGTTTTCAATAAATAGGTATCGTTTTAGTTTTTTCAACTCCACACATCGGCGGAGTATCGTCTTTGCGTTTCCATTTTCTTCAAAAAAGCAACGGCTTCTTGTTCAGTCATCTGGCCCTTTTCTTGTAGAATTTTCGTTAAAATAACTCTCACATCGACAGCCATACTTTTAGCATCTCTGTAAAAATATAAAGGTAGCAATTATTATTTTGAAGGTTCATAAATATATTTTTTCTGTGACGGGAAAAAAGTTTGGCATTTCATCTCTGTTGGCAGGTTATAAAATGTCACTTTTCATAAATTACTTTTTTCCCGTGGGAAAAAAGTGAGTACTTTTTTCCCGGATATATATATCACATATATATATACTCTGTTAATGACTTTTGTTGTGCTATAGTTCCGAAAAATGAGTCAATAATACCGTCTCCGAGAAAGAACTGCAAGTCCTTTTATCTTCCATTCGACTTCGCGGTTTCGTATATTACCAAACTACTACTGAATTCGCAATTTTTTTAAATCAAATCACAGAATTGAACTGACAGAAGTGACATCAGATATTTGGAAACTTCAAAAGAATGATAAAGATACCAATAAAACGCAGGTGTCCCTACTGTTGAAAACTTGAAATTTCATGTTGATAATTTTCAGATTTCGAAATTATGTAATATCTTCTCAATATTGATCCGTCCTTCCTTTTGTCACAGGAAAAAATAGTGTTCCTTCGTCCTTACTGAGAAAGGTCTCTTGGTTTCACCTGTATAAAACTTTCCACAAACACAAGGTATACTTTAAATACATTTTTTTGAAGAATGTTCTTCATTTCTCGGCTTTGTTTGAGTTAGATTTGATCTCATTGTATTTTCAGTTTTGAACATAGTTTTCACTTGAAATTCATCACCAACACGTTTTATTTTTTTCAGATATGCCGGGAATGTACGGTATTACATTTGTCGCTATTGATGATTGATTTTTTTGTGGTTGACCCTGTCTGTTTTCAATTTGATGAATCTTCCTATCGACAAAATTCTTTGGATAGGAATTGGAGAACATTTTTAATGTGGTGGACTTCGTTGATGAAAATTTGTTGGTCAGATGATATTGATTTGGCTCTATCATGTAGTGATTTGATTTTTTCTTCTTAAAACTTTTCTGATGATTTGATTGAAAGTTCAAGTATATGTTAGTATGGGTCATTTTAGGATATTCACTTGTTACAAAGATTTCATTTGTTCATTCAATAAGAACATCTAGAGATGGTACCTGATCATTAGATTCAATTTCAAACAAAGCCGAAAAATGAAGAACAATCTTCAAAATATTGTATTTACAGTATATCTTGTGTTTGTGGAGAGTTTTATACAGGTGAAACCAAGAGACCTCTTTCAGTAAGGACGAAGGAACATAAGTACAATAATATAAAGAAAAGACACATCGATAAATCGAAACTATCTGAAAATATCCTTACTGAAGATGGACAAAATATGGCAGAGTGGAATAATATTAAAATCATTGGAAAAGAAGATAACAACCAGAAGTGAAAAATCAAGAAATCTGCTTGCATTCTTCTGAACGGAGACAATAGCATTGCTTCTTGTTCAGTTGATATAGACAGAACATGGTATTCACTACTAAAATCTGAACATAAAAGTGGTAAATTCTAGAAAAATTAATCAAAACATCCTGTAACTCATTTTATGTCACCAATTGTCAGTGAAAACTGAAAAGCTTCAAGACAGATACGACTTTGCTATTGAAATAATCTTTTCTAATGTTAAAAACGGGAGCAGAGTGAAAATTTGAAATTTTTTCTATATACCTTTATTTCTCTTCTCCAAACTTTTTTCAATACAAATTGTCACTGACAAGCTAGTGAATTTCTCTTTCATGCTCTCCTGATAGGAAAATTCTTTAAACGCAGTGACATTTTGGGGCAAATCATCTGATTCGTCCTTAATACACGTATATTGAAATAATATTCATATTTTTATTTTATAGAAACGAGAAGAGAAAATCCCAAAAATTTTGAATAATGAACATCTCCACAAGTTTTCATGATGTTGTTACATAATCATAAGGGACATTTTTTGGTCTCATGAACGACCATCTTCAGCCTAATTGAAAGAACTACAATACAAGAACACAATAAAAGTTGAAGTGGAAGAATTACCTAGTTTGTGCTTGACTTACTTGGAGTCCAAAAAAAAAATTTTTTATGCTACCTACTGCTTCTTGTATTGTTATCGATGCCCATGCATAGCCACGAATTCAAATATTCAGTGAAAATACGGGTTCTCAATAAATATTCGAATTCTTGGCTATGAGCATCGACAATGTCTTATTTTTGAGCGAACCTATGCAATTTATTTTCTGAGACAGATGAAATACTGCTCAATTTGGTGGAATAATTGAGTTAATTTTACTCTCTCTCTTGATTTTTGTTCAATGGTCGTGGGCCAGATTCCGACGTTTTGCGGGCAGGAGATGGCCCGCGGGCCGTAATTTCCCCATCCCTGTCCTAAAACCCATCAAAACTCACCCGCAAATGTACAAATGCCCGTTATTCTCTCCGATCACCCGCCATACTTCATCGGCATGCTGCTGCAGCAAATGCGTCACGTAAACCTTGTGCGGCTGATCTCTGGAGAAGGCCAGATGCAGCGTTAGCAGCCCGTTCTTTTCGTACTCGAGCAGCTCGTCGCCGTAGATGAAGTCCTCGCTGCGCTTCCGGCACCCGAAGTACAGGACCGTCTCGCCCACAGGCTTGCCCTCGCTCTTGCAGATATTACGCTCCTGGATGAAACCACGGAAGGGAGCCAAACCAGTGCCGGGACCGATCATGATAATGGGCGTCTCGGGTTTGGTCGGCAGTCTGGAATAGCCAAAAACACACTGATAAAAATCTCTGATTGAAGACAAAAGAGAAATTCAAATGTTTTTCTCTTTAACCGAGAGAATTTTTATTCTCCCAAATATACTTTGCTTTCATCTGTATATTATTGTTGTTTTTGAGATGAGTTTTTAATTCTTTCAGCTGTATACGCTTTTGAGAGAAGATCATTGGCATTGCCTACAGTCCCGCTTGTTCAACTATATTCCTAAAATAAAATGTATCCTTCTTCGAAGCACTGGTGGGCGGGTGAACCCCCTGCACGTGGGCCTCCTTATTCGGGCCCATTGTGCGCCCACATGTTACGACATTCAGCTGGGTATGCCCACTGCCTTGGAGAAGTTCAGCAGCTTCTCAGCTGAATCTCTTTTACGTCCTCTGGCCTCAAAATTATGTTGCCAAGGACAGCCCTCCTCTGATGCGTCAGTGCTGGACACTCAGTGAGGACATGTGATGACGTTTCGTCATCTTCCAGGCACCATCTGCAAAGGGGGTCATCCTTGATCCCAATAAACTCTAGGTGCCTATTGAGGTGGTTGTGCCCCGTTAGGAGCCCCACAACCATTTTAAGGTTTCGCCTGTTTAGGAATAAAACCTCTTTTGCGAGCCTCGTCGAAGGTTTCTTTATGTGGAGCTTCGATTGTCTCATTCCTGGTGTGTCCTGCCATATTTTGAAATGAAATGTCTTTGATACAAAGTCTCAGGATAATTGCTTAAGGTAATCGATAAGCTCGAGTCCATTCGAAGTCGATCGAAACCCCGCTTGGTATCAGTTGACTGCCCACACCTTACCGAGAGTGTTGCTATGTTAGCGGCTCTGAATTTTGTGCTGTGTGTTGTGTGGTGGTTGGCATTTATTCTCCGAGTCCTATTCAAGAAATACTATGATTGGATGAGTTAATAAGGGGATTTTGGGAATTCACTGGAAACAAGACGAGTTGGAAAAACATGATTCAATAGGTAAAAGGTACCTACCGTAGATTTTTGTGAGTTTCAGATTCATTATTTCGAAGTGTACATAACATAAGGTGAGATTGCAGATACTGAACTATGAATGTTTGCACAGAGATACGTGTCTTGCACTAATTTATAAAAAAATACTATGACGATCACTATAATGAAAAAAGGCACAGAGGATTCTTTTGAATTTCCATGCAGATTAGATTCTATTCAAAATAAATTCCCAGGGAATTGTTACCACTAGAACACGACGGAAAATCGTCAGTAGTACTGACATCACAAAAAAGTACTATAAAAAAAAATCGACATAGCCAACACTGAGCACTGAGAACTTTTGTAAAGGACGATACTATAATGTTACAAACTTAAAGTACTCCTTGTCATGGTTTTTGTAGATTAATCACGTCAAATTCATTCCAGAACGTCAACGAATTGACATATAATGTTGAAGGCAAGTGCTTCGCCTATGATTCATTCTACATTGAGTCTGCCATTAAATGAACTGATGTGGTGGAGGTGGAATGAATGAGACTCGCATCACATGCTACTCCACTTCAAAATATATAATTCTTCTTGAACCATATTCAACATAGTAAAAACGATCGACAGTTCATTTTGAATAGAGGCCATAGTAGCCACGTGGTAGAAGCGTCAGTATTCTAATCACATCGGAGTGTCGGTTCGTGGGTACGATTACCACAACTGCAGAAACCTTTTTGATGGTCAAAGAAAGTGTTTGGGATCAAACGTTGACAGGTAAAACCCCCGCCATTCCTTGCTCGCACAAGTCTCTCTTGACGACTAAGGTTTGCTCGTAAGGGGGCAAGCGAATGACGGATAAAAACAATTTTAGAACAATGTTTAAGTAGGGGAGCTACCGACTACGTTTTCATATTTCGACAAGTAGTCAGTATGGAGAGACTCAGTACTTATCAATCCCAAGAAGTGCTCCCAAGAACTGCTGCTCAGTAGCACTTTTTGGGATTACTGAGCACTAAACCTTGTCGTAAAGTGCTCGGGGAACTAAGCACTGGTTCAAAAAAGTGTTCGGGAACACAGTCGTGCTTATGAGCACAAAAGTGCTATAATTGCTTCAACACTGAGCACAATGCGTTGGAACAGCTCTGACGCCGACGATCTTGGTAGGTCAAGGAAAAAAATCGATAGGTGTTTCCTTGGGCAATTCACTATCCAATGAGATTAATAGCAATACCGACTGCACCGATTCATTAGCATTGTTTGAATATCTTGATATTCATCGCTCTCCTAGATTTTACTGAAGACAACAATGTCATGGATGAACTGCACAAGACAGTTTGAAACTTACTTCCTAATGTTTCCTTTTATACTCACTGGATTGTGTCATCATCATGACATAGATATTAGAGTTTGTCATCATAATTTGAGGTTCATTGAAATGAAAATAATTTCAAAATCATCAAGCTAGATTCCATAGACCTCGCTATACACTTATAATTGAGGATGAGACCGAATTTTATCGCTGCTGATTGAACCTTCAACATGCTACATTGGCAATGGTGGTAACACCAATATTTACTGAATATTTCCATAAAATGAAACAGCTGGCAACACAGGATGACGGAATATCACGTCAGGTTAGGTCATCCAGAAATTGTAGGGCATGCAAATAGTGTTTTTTGTATCACTCATCGCATATTTCATCCAAAAATGCATACATTCATGTCATGTTTCTACTGAGAAGAATCAAGACAATCCGAAATTCGAGGCGAGCAAAATACGCTTGACGACAAATACTGTCTCTTGGATTCACAACCTATTCCATGCATATTGCGCCTAGTTAGCCTCACGTCTATGAGATCGATATTTTTGGCCATTTATGTTCCCTTTCGTCATTTGGCCAATATAATGGAAATGGGTGTCGTAAGAATTGTGAATAGGTAGTTACTTGCTAAACATGAAATGAATTCACATTCCAAACCAATAACGATTTCTTGAAGACATTCAGGATATCGATATCAGGCAGAACTGAATGTAATAACAATGCAATCTACACCATCTTTTGAGGAAATACACACGGATATAAGACAGCAGACAGTGCAAGGCAGTGTACTCAAACAATCCAGAGACAAGCCTCAACTACTCTTTGAGGGCATATATCTCCATATTTCAAGCGGTATACAATGTGTGAGAGAAAATAATGGAGCTGTCAGAAATAAGTACATTCATATTAAGTATGCCAGACAGTCAGGCGGTAGACCATATAATATATGGAAGCAATGTCTGAACTGGTATGGACCTGCAGAGAAGAACTAGAAACACTAGGTGAACAGAACAAAGAAAACCCGATTTCTGAGTCCGGACATCAGGGGATACCAAATGATGAAAAAGCACGTGAATTTGCTAGGAGAGGTCAGGTAATGTTCCATATCTAGAACACACGCCAGGAGCGCCAAAACGCACGGTGCGAGCATCTGTGCGGTAGGTACATACTGGATTCTGGAGAAATATGAAAATCACTGAAAGAATATTCTAGAAAATTGACACGGGAAGGCATATCGCAGCGTGTCACAAAAGAAATGCTGACGTGCAATCTCAGCAGCGCTGGCAACTAGAAGTTATATTAGAGCTACTGACTGGCCCTTTGCCAGTCAAAGAACACCTGAACAAAATGGATCTGTCCAATAGTGACCTGAGCTGCGACTGTACGGCAAGGCTTCGGAAATACCTAACCTTGTACCTACCCTGTGATTGCGAGGCGCAAGATCGCAAGAGATTGGCGATCTTTTTGGGTAACCGGGTAACCGAAACTCACACAATTTGAAGCACTCGTACAAGGTTACAGTAGATCCTATTTCGTATATAAAATGATGTAGGTAGCATTGAATGTTTTTTCTATTAGTGAGGTGACTGGGTTATTCAGTCTCTTACCTGAACTGCGACTTGCGGATGAAGACAGGAACGACGGGCGCCTCTTTTTCCGGATCCGGGACCTTCTCCTTCAGCCAAGTGGTGGCCACACCCTTATTGTGCCGGCCTGTGGGCGTATCGTACTCGACCACAACGGCGGAGATGTGAACGGTGTCAGGGTATAGCTTGGCAGACGAGGATATCGAATAGAACCTACAATAAAATAAGATATTTTGAGAATTCTTGGACTGAACACAGAATACAAATAAAGCGTAACTTCAATCACTTCTCATTCATTCGGGTTGCCATGCATTCTGTGTCACGTATGGTCAATTCGTGACTTCTCCAGCCACACTAGTGCCACCACGTGGTAGCAATATTGGACATCCCTGCAATTGACGCGTGCGATTTTTGTTCAACACATTCATTGAGGTTCACCGAGGTAAGTGTGATTTTGAGGCAAGTGGAACCGAGACTGATTATCTTTGTCTGCTAGGTGGCATAATAAACCTACTCATATCCCTTGAATGCTCAGTGATTCATCAAGTTAGCAACGCAACAATTACGGTTCGACCTTGCCGATATTACGAAAAGTGTCCATTATTATATCGCATACCAAGCTAGCTCTTTTTCGTTGTTGGTGTACGTGAGCTTCAAAAATATGTGAATGAATTCAAAGATCTTGAAGTGAGCATCTCGAAAATAATTCTCAATTGTTTGTATTCTAAAGGTATGAAGGACGTATATTTGTTCAGAGAAAGTAATCGACATAGGCTATACTTGCTTCTTGAAAATAATGTAGGTGGGGAAAGTGTAACCACATGTAACCTATGTAAGGATTCTTTTGCCCCTGTGCTTTAGAGAATCGTGATCTTCAAATGCAAAGTCAATTTATATTTTTGGACAGTTTTGGCGGTACCCATGGATATGGGGCAAATGTAGTACCGCAATAATTGAAAAGATTTGGATCATAGATTCGAGCGTTCATCTATTGTAGAATCTTTTTTGTTCATGGCGGAGCTATCAAAATTGTACCTTATATATCTATATCAAAATTGGAACAATTTCAATATTTGCAGGGCTGCCTAGTGTTTTGCGGGTATATAAATCGAGTCTACTATACAGGGTGTTTCATAATTGAATGCTGATCCTTAAGAACGATAATCCTTAGATGATTTCAAAGAGAAAAGTTCATATCAACATTTATGTCCTGAACCTCTTAGTAAGTGAGCTACAGGATGATGAAATTTCAAGAAAAAAATGAGTTTTTCATCATAATTTTTTATCACTCTCAGATATTGTTATGATATTCTGTATGCACCTCTTCATTATTAAGGAGCATTTTTTTACGTGAAAGATATTTGAAAATTCTCACCAGTGGCGTCCGTACAGGGTTGAACTGACAATTTTGGAAGAAAAAAATAGTACGTCACTGATTCTCCTGAGAACCAGATTTTTGTTCAATTCTTATTCATTTTGGAGCAAATTTGGTTTCTAGACTTACTTTCATACAACGTACCGTTTTCGCGTAAAAAAATAAAAACCAAAGAATTTTGTTCCTTCCGTTCTTGGATATTGTTTTTGGTAAATTCAGTAGACACCCACTATAAGTGAAAACACATTTTGTTTTGGGACGAAAATCAAACTTCTACTTTTACCAGTGATGTCCTCGTGGACCTGATATTGAATGTTTAGTTTAAAAAAACGCTGTACGCTTCTGATTTCAACACCCCGTAGCTCAAAAACTAAGAGGTTCAGGACATATGTTGATATGAACTTCTCTCCTCAAAATCATCCAAGGATCATCGCCCTTTAGGATCAGGATTCAATTATGAAACACCCTGTACCAGATAATACGACAGTACAAAATGATGATTCGCGAAGAAATTCAACGACAAACAAGCGAGCATCAAAATTGGTTGAGGCACCTGCGCAGTATGTATCAACATCAGCTCTGTTTTTTTGTCTTGTTGGAACGTATGTCTATATATACTCGTGGTACCTTATATCACAGCCGGCTACCCTGTAATCTCTTTATCGATCATCTATCAGCTATTTTGTTGTTCCCTATAATAGCACACTGAAGTCACATGGATATCCATAAGACGTCCCACCGGGACATTAGGGACATGCGTTCTTGGTACCGCGGACATCCATTCAGTATGTCCGTGGGGAGTGCAAATGTCCCGACTTTTTCCCCAATAAGAAAACATTCCAAGAATATACATTAGACCTCTTTGGGAAATCATTCAATGGACGTACATTGGAAAAGTTAGAGTATTCTGTATCTGTACCGAGGTCATTCATAAGATATCCTCCGGAACGTCTTCTGGAATGTCTATAGGACGTCCTCTGGAACATCCACGAGACGCCCTCTGGAGCGATCATAAAACGTCTCTGAGATATCCATATGAAGTCGTCTGGAATGTCCATAGAGAATCTCAGAGACGTACGAATTATTCTTGAATTTCAATCCATTTGGGTCTTCCTAGGAACAGATCTTCCAGAACTGATGAGATCCTCTCGTTTAGTTGATGATCTGTAGAAGGTCCCCAAAAGATCCTATAGGAGGTTCTTAAGGATGTCCAATGGACTTGCGTGAAAGACATTGCCGGGGATTATTCACAGCATACGAGCAGTCGATCGTCGGCAAGGTGTGAGTTAACGTCCTCGCAGGGACAACATAATATGTAACGTACCGACTGCGACATCCGTAGGACGTTTTTCCTGAATTGGATGAGAAAATGATCACTTGCTTTTGCGGAGGATAATTATCAGGTCCTGATGCCAATGAATACCACTGATGGATGTCCCTTAGGATCGTATCCATCCTCTGAGGACGTTCTTGGGACATCCGATGGATAGGGACGTCCCTAGGAGGTTGCGTGCTATCAGAGTTGTTTGTGTTAGGTGTATTGTGCATAATGTGTATGTCTAGTGTTCTGCTGTTGTATCATTGATCTCAAGGAGTTTTTTGTCTCCACGACTTTTTGATCTGATGAATTACTATATAGTACCGGACATAAAATATTGATACTTTCATATATACATTATTTATTGTTTCAGGAGGTTATTGAGAACACAAACTTGATGATATCATCATAGCAAACATGTTTTATTCCAAGATAGCTTTATTGCTTCTTCGGAATCTTTAAAATATTGTATGGAAGCTTGAACTTTCAGTATGAATTCAATAAAGGTAGGTACCTGAATCAAATCATTGATATAGCAGGTACTGGACATGAAATGTTATTAGGTTAATTATTTGTTTCAGATGAAGTTATTGAGAACACAAGATTGATGATGTCATCAGAGCAGAGATGTTTCATTCCAAGATATTTTGGCTTCTTCGAAATCTATGTGAGATTGCCTATGCATGTTTGCACTTTCAGTATATTCAATAAAGGTAGGTACCTAAATCAAATCATTGATATAGTAGGGACTGGAACATGAAATATTAATAGGTACATTATTTGTTTCAGGAGGTTATTGATAACACAAAATGATGATATCATCAGAGCAGAGATATTTTATTCCAAGATATTTTGGCTTCTTTGGAAATTATGAAAGATTGTACATATGCAGACTTGAACTTTCAGTAGATTCAATAATGGTTGGTACCTATAACTACATAAATAATCATATCATTGATAGTAAGTACTGGACATGAAATATTAATACATTGTTTGTTTCAGAAGGTTATGCAAAACACAAACCTGATGATATTTTCATTCCAAGATAGTTTTGCTTCTTCAGAATCTATAAAATATTGCATGAAGACTTCAACTTCCAGTTGATTATTCTGCATCAGGAATGTCCAGAGTTCAGAAATCAAAAACAACATGGAGAAATATAACTATCAATAGGCAATAACTTCTAGTAGTGCTCAACAAGAAGCTGAAATACATTTCTTTGAAAAGGAAATTGAAATTTTTCAGAATAAGTTATAAATAATAGAATGTAAGTTTTTCATTTGGTTTTTCATTTGAACCTATTATAAATATAGGGAAATTTTGCAAATATCATGAGATCCATATTATTTTGAAGAAATTATCATTTGCATAATACAAGGTGAGTCAATATAGTGTGTTATCCTTATTGTATATTAGCCAAACCATCAGATAAATAGAGAAAATTCAAGTACAACAGTAATAGGGTTTCATATGAAAACTTTCACATTAAATTGTTTTCATATATATCTGTAGGGTGTTCGAATTCCAAGATATATTGACTGATGATTGTTTTTTACCAAATGGGACACCCTGTATACTATTGCATTTTTAGGTTCTCCCTGAAGAGCTCATTCCATCAATGCATCACACTTGGGGTCTAGCGGGAATGATTACAGAGATATAGGGTGTTCAAAAACAAGATTTTTCAATTTTAGGATTTTTTTTGTGGAAACTATTCAATTTTGGTCAGAACGGCTCACATATCCTCATAAACTTTCGATTTACTATCTACTGACATTCAATCGGAACAAATAGAGGGTGGGTTAACATTCAGAATACTGATCAGCTTATTAATTGTATCTGTTCCAAATAAATATCAGTAGATAGCTATTCAAAAGTTATGACAGGAACATGTGAGCCGTTTTGACCATTAATGAATAGTTTCTACACAAAAAATCCTACATTTGAAGAATCTCAATTGTCAACACCCTATATCTCTGTAATGATTTCCACTAGACACCAAGTGTGATGCATTGATGGAATCAACTCTTCAGGGAAAACTCAAAAATGCAATAATATACAAGGTGTTCCATTGAAAAAAACCAATCATCAACCGATATCTTGGAATTCGAACACCCTATAGATATGAAAACAACTTCAGGTGATTATTTTTATGAAACCCTATTACTGTTGTACTTGAATTTTCATTTTATATATCTGACGGTTTGGCTAATATCGGAGGAGAACACACTATAGTGACTCATTCTGTATACGAATAATATTCTCCCATAAATCTTGAACCTCCTTGAAACATCATCAAAAACCGCCTCAAGTTGTTACCATGATGTCCTGAGGTTGTCCCAAAAGATTTTATAGGGATGTTCTGAGACGTTATTAGCATGCAGAGAATGGTAACAGGAGGACGTCTTGAGAATGTCCTCAGGCTCGCTCTCGACGTCCTGAGAACATGATTGTGAACGCCTCAGAAGGGCCTCAAAAGGAATTTGTGCTATCTGGGATAATAAAGAAGGGGTTTCAGAG